CCTTAGGAAGAATCTGAGACTTTGTATTCATGAACAACGCATGCTCATAGTTTTGTGTTCCTGAAAAGACACAGGTCAGTTTCATTTGGCAGACCGACTATGGATTGTTTGTCTTCAGAGTGTGCATTACTTCCGGCACACCAAACAACCATGGACAGGTGAACAAAACACCCTGTGTTAAATTAAAAGATGGTTTCAAGCTTTCTGGTATTGCTGTCCTGAGAAGCAGAGCCACATTCTTGCTTGTGCTCTGGGCCAACTCTAAGATGCTGGACAGAGGGATGTAGGGAAAGGGAGTTCCTAGACGGTCTGCTGGAACCCTTAGCCATCAAGCAGGGCATCTGGCTATGTGCACAGGATCAGAGATGACCATGGAGAGTCAGAGATCTTCCTAAAGATTACATGTCAGGAAGTCCCTCCTGGACCTTCCAATTTGCTGGCTAGATAGTTATCACTAAATAATCTCCATCAATACCATATGGAACAGAAGACTCACCCAGTTGATTCCAAACCAAATCTTAAAGTCAAGCTCTGGGGCTTGGGTGCTCTGTGATCTACCAATGGAAGGTAGATGCACACACAGTTGTAATTGTGGCACTCAGGCCCAGAGGCCAAACCAGCTGCTGATCAAGGGCGTTAGCCAGGGTTCTGTCAACCCACCTGTGTGGCACAGATGAGACTCTGGGAAATATGTTCCTACAGGCCATCTGTTCTAATGTTTTCAATGAAACTGAATACTTCCCTTTGGGAGCACTGGCTGCACACCAGTGGTGCTAATGTGCCTTTCAGCCCGGTTAGTGCCAGGAGCATCAATGAACTGTCTGCCTATGGAGGCTGTTGTAATTTTCACAGCGTCAACCGGGGGAACAGGACTGGCATGTTCTATATTCTTCAGAGGTTGTAGATTTGCACAAGGACACACGAATTCAAATGATGAAGCCTATACAAAGAGAGGTCTAGTAGAAGTCGAAGAGCTATAGGAAATAAGACTATTTCTGGGAAAGCTGGGGGTTAAGTTTTTGGCTCGTCTTGAAACGGAAAGGGATTGTGAATTCTGCTGGCTGGGAGGGGCTAGCAGATCAAGCTGTTTTCTTGGCTTTGTGCTATGGAGCAATTTTAAAGCGTCAAAGTGCTTTCTGTATTTTTCAGTCACTCAAGTCCGGAGCTGATTATCTCGCCGATTCACGCTCCGCGAGCCCCTGTCTTTCAGGGAGAGGTTTCACCTTGAAAGCCGGTGCCCAGATTTGGAAGGTGCCTCTTGCTACAGCAGCAGGACAAACAACTTAATTGCAGCTTAGCTCCACAAGGACCAGGTGTTTTGGAAAATCACTGATGGAGACAGCCCAGATTCACTTTTCCTTATCTCACAGAAACAAAACACAACCTCCCCTCCACGCAGGAAAACAAAAACAAGTCCTTTCAGAAACTGAATCCTCCCAACTAAAGTGATACTTAGACTGCTCAGACCTGTGGATAAAGACACACACACACACACCAAACACACACACCACACACAGCACACACACACAC